GAAATGAACTTCAAGTATGGCTCTGCACTTCTTAAACTCAACACTGAAATGAAGACCTGTGGAACTAGAAATGACAACGCCAGAAAACTAAAGCACAGTATCTCATTTCCCCATGAAATTCTTTCCACTCTTACTMAAGTAAGTATTCTAAGCCTACATCCAATTTTTTTTTTAAATCTATCAATCCTGTCTCTTATAGAAATTAATTCACTCTCATAAAACATTTCCTGCTCTTCCATTCTATCCCATTGAACACAGCATACTATGAAGACAGGTAAGAAAGATGCACTTTTTTACACTACCCTAAATATTAATCAAACTCTAGAATTAACGACAGGAAGTTATATAACTGGAATATTTTACTTAACASTAAACTGCCTGGGAGACATTTATTCATTTACAGAATTCAACCTCTCAATAATCTTAAGTKTAATTTTCCACCATTCTTGATGATGTCTTCAGCTTTGCCTGAATCCTTTGCTTCTTATTCAGCAAGGGAAAGGAAAAAAGAGAGTAACAGTAACTCTATTTTCATGTACCCATATTTTATTATTAACTGGAATGTGAAGGAAAGACAAAAACATTGTCCACTTATGAAGAGACAGCAGGTTTAACTTCAGTGATTTCAATGTCTACACTGTTCACTTCACTGTTTATATMATTTATGACCAACATCTTGGAGTTTGGGAAAAATGTGGGTGYTTTGTTAAGATTTTTCTATTACATGAAAAAAAAAGAGCCAAACCACATTTGTAAACAGAATCCAGAAGAAAGATGAAAACTCACAGAAAAAAATAAAAAATCCTCTAAACCACTTGTGCTAGAATTTCTAGTTATACTAAAGTACATTCCAGTTTCTACACCTGTAGTAAAAATGTTTTACTTAAGCTTTCAGGAGGAAAAAACAAGGTTGAGGAAGTCACAGACCCTTATCCAGACTTGTCATAGTATTCATAGTCAGGACTTCACATTTACTGCTACCTAAAGCATTTCTTCTGTTAAGGTGCTCATGAAAGAAGCCGTGTTTTCTCTAACTGAAGATTTAGATCCACAAAACATGTTTCCCAGCAATGTAAGAAAGGAAGGAGAATGTTAAATCCTCTTGTAGTAAACACAGACTTTGGCAATGTGCTACTGAAAGCCAAGTCTATGTAAGACATAAACTCCTGCTGGTGTATGGCAGTATTCATTATTACAGCTGTAAAGCCTCATTAAAAGACATTTTAACTGGAACCTGCATGAAATTTCCTAGTTTCTCTCCCAGTTTCTCTCTCTTCTTTGTGATTGCTTTCCCAGGTAAGAAACTATTTTATTGTTTTGTCTTGCCAACCTTAAATGTTTTATTGGCAGCCTGCAGGTTTAAATCAGCTGCAATTCTGGAGGTWTCAGATCAATAGATATCACTGACATCTCGAGAACAAGCCACCTCCACAGCCCTGGGCCAGACAGGATGCTACTAAGGACCAAACAAGYACAGGTCCTTTTGAAGGTTTCTCTTGTACTGGATTAAGAGAATTTACAAAAATCAATGAGGACATTATCCTTCTGCAACATACTTAATGTGGAGGTTSTAAGAGTAATTTATAAATTTTTCTGACTGAATTTCACATCACTACCCAGAACCAAGYGTTTATCACTTTTGCACAGCCAAAAAAGTTTAATACAAACGACAGCAACCTTTCAAAGAAACTTCTGGTAGAGTTGTACAATGCTGCTGCTGTTTCAGAAATGCTTTAAAACTGGTGAAGTCCACACCATCCACAAGGCCTTAAAGAGATGTGCCTTCAGATTTGGAATATGAAGTTGACAGTTTTAGTTGAAAATTCTTTTTGCATGCTTATTGCCTGAGGGCTTCTCTAGTTAATATTAATGAAATCACGTTCACCTCTACCAAAKAAATACTTAATAAAGCAATTCTGTTTAAAGTATTAATGGCAATCTAACATTTAAACATGCATTTTTATTTTTGAAAATTCCAACCTGAAAGCCTCCAGGTGTTACACTAAAAACTAAATGAGACTATTCAGGCATTCCTTGGTGAATTTATGCTCATAAAGACTTACCTGCTTGCATTATAAAGATTCACATAGGCACACTCCAGATATGCAGAATGCAAAGAATAATTTACAACTGGAGCAAATGCCAGATTTAAAAGTATGCAGAGGACACTCACTGACAGAGCAAGGGGCTTAAGTCCTAAGATTAGAGCTTACAGGATGTTGCACTGCTAATGACACTTCAGAGGAAAGAGTGCTGATTCCCTGCTTTTTGCAAATAACATGTCTAGCAATGAAGCTTCCAATATTACAGCAGTGGTTTGGATTTTTTTTCCACCAAKTTGACAGAATGGTTACATGATTTTAAGACTTTACCACTTTGTTTCTCCCTAAACTGTAAAATAAGCAAAACATTGCTTACCTTTTATAGCATCCCTGGCCTGAAGTGTTCTACATTAGTAGGAGATATTATTTTTAGACTCTTCTAGCAAGATTTGTCACCACTCTAAACCCTGACAGAAGTCTAGATAAGAAGAAATCATTTGCCCACATGTCTTAGTGTCATAACAGATTCTTTTTCATGACACTTTCCAACTAAACTCTATACCAATGCTTTATTATTATCTTAGGAAGCAATTTCAGGATCTGAAAACACTAGGTATAATATTAAAGACAAAGCTACATCTCTCTATGGAGATAGTTTAAGGAGAACTACCATCTTAACATTATAAATGCTTCTGTAAAAAATCCTTTCTTCTACTTGCTTCACACTGTTTTGGAAGTTCTTTTACAGCTGCCTTCAGAAGATCCCAAAGGAGTGTCAAATTTAATCCAATTCAGAATGCACTTCCTACAATGTAGCATAAAGTCACAAAATACATAAAAAGTGTTGTAATGTGGATCCGTCAAGCCAGGCACAAAACAGCTCCTGGGATTCTTTGCCATCATTACCCAGCATCTAAAACATACTAGTGGATAGGCAAGAGGAAAAAAAAAAAAGAGGGATGAAGAAGGTAGCTCCAAAGCATCTGTTAAGCAGGATTCCTGTTTTCTGTACACATCTGCTAAATTTACAAGCAATTATTTTGAGGCCAAGAGCAGAAAATTCTTCGTATTATCTCAGAACAGTGAGTCCTATGGTTAGAAAAAGTGTCATAGTGTCAAAAACTGTTTTCTTTGTTCTGGGGCTTTTAAAAATAATTTTCCATTTTTAGAGACAGTTATTCAAGGGGAAAAAGTATCATTAAACTAGGTATATGTAAACTCACATCGCATTTCTTATCCTGATATGGTTTTATTACTTTGCTAATTTATTCTCCTGGGTATTGACWGCACCAGAGTTATACTTATTCACTGACAGCTGTGCTGGTGATAGCTGTGATTAGTAACAGTGAAGGCTATTCCATTTTGGAACAAGGATATGTTTTGTTATCAATCAAAACAGCCTCTGTCTCAGTGAAATAAGGGAGTTCATCAGCGCACTCATACAAGATAGAGAGCTGACAGCAGCTGTAATTAAGGCAAATCCACAGTATCTCAAGTTCAGCTGAAAGAGGACAATCCTAAGTTTCTCTCACTTCCCACAAGAAAACTTTACCTCTTTGATGAAATGTCATCACCCATTTTTTTAAAACCGTCTCCAGATAATTGTTTTTCAAAAAGTGGCCTAAGCTGAACATAATAGGTCATAAGAGTTCTTCTCTATTAGCACAAACCTTTAATACTCATACACTACTCTTTGTACAGGCCCCCTTTTTCCTCTCATCTGCTCAGTTATGACCAGCAATTTCAATCAAACCCTCAACTACTGCATTCAAGTTTCACCTTAATGCACAAATCAACAATACAAAAATCAACAACACATATAGCAGGAGTATATATTGTAAAAATCTATCTTTCATCATACCAGCAATGAAATGCTGAATTGCTGAAAGGATTGCACATGAAAATCCAGACCAAGGTCATCAAAATAAATGCTCATCTCACAAAAGACTGTATTACATTTTTGATGTAAGGAGGAAATATTACATGCATGACTAAATGTTGAATTAAAATCAAAGAAAACAGATTTGCAAGCAGCTACTTCAAGGCAGTAATAAGATAGCTCAGGTAAAATGTTCCCTTCTACCCAAATATTCATGCTTCAGGAGAAAAAAATATTATTTAAAAAAAAAAAATCACCATCTCCTTAATAAATGCAGCAGCAATTTGTCTCCTAATCAGTAGCTCATGAAGTTTGGATAGACTACAGCCCAGTTCACCCATGCACTCAACCACAMGGCAAAAGAAACCTCTGAAAGTATATCAAACTGCAATTCCAAATAAATCTCCTTCATAGTTCATCCAATGCTATCAGAAATTTCATGCTTGACAAATGTGAGAATTTTACCAGTAGCCAAAAAAACCTTACATTAAAAACAAAAGGAAGAATTTTATCACATCAGAGCCACAGARAGCAGTGGCAGTGCCACCAAAGAATGTGCCATAATATAGGAATACAGTTTCAGGCAATGCACAAGTCAAGTAACAAGCATGAGAAGTTTAAAGGTGAGTGTCCAAAAYAGGAGTATCACAAATTCCATGAAATTTATCTGTTTTCTTAGGATCTAACCTTTAGAAAAGGTTCCCCTTAAGAACAGGTTACAGGACCCTTTTCCAATTTAAATACYTCTTCGGTATCACAGCTGCTCCCACAATGGCATAAAGGTTGAAATCCTTCACAGTTCTTGCCCAATCTCTGTTCTTACTCCCTGCTTTTCTAACCTCTTCACTGCTAACAGGTAAACTGTTTCAGTCTGGAAATTATATGTTCCTTCTCACATAACAATTCTCCTTCACAGACAGCTGAAGAAACCATACTATTAAAAAGGGAATTGTTAGCTTAAAAAAAAACCTCTTGATTTACAAAGCCCATGCAACAGCTTTCTTGATCAAATCTGCATACTTCTTCCCACACTAACACCTCCCCCCCCACCAAATTTGGAAGACTCTCTCATTGCTTACATTTCCTTCGTTTTATTTGAATCTCATTTGATCCGCAGCTTGAGAAGAAAGAAGAATAGGCTTTCTCAATGCTCTGATAGGGTTCTCTTTACTCTTGCCAATAAAGGGAGCTTTGCTACAGTCTGCCTGGTTTCTTTCTTTGCCCTGAAGAAAGAAAAAGCTTGAGTTACATTTCCTTCATTCAAACACCCTGTAACAGGCTTCTCAGAACCTATGAAGTTACTTCATTAGCTTTATTAGACTATCAAACTAATTCTTACTGATAAATTTTTAAAATAACCTAAATGTAAGATAAATAACGAAGAACACTACACAAAATATAGCAACATGATTTTCAAACCATTGTTTTCTTCTCCTCCACTATTTCTCACAAAGGACTCTCGACAAAATAGCTTTCAAGGAGGACATGCACAGTTAAAATCACAGCTTATGCTTCTTGCTTTCAYGCACACACAATAACTTCTCCACCCAGACACATTGTGTGCCATTACAGACTATAAAATCTTCAAAGCAGTGCCACTTTCTTGGAAAGTCTGATAAATTCCATTTGAAAACATTAGCCCAATTTTGGGAAAGTAATTAAGTGTTCTGCCGAGTGTTTCTTTAAAAACCACCTCGTGACAATATTCCAAGAGGTCATTAGAAGCAAGCAACTTATTTTGGGGAAGTTTGTTTGATACTGGAATTTTAACAAAGAAAAAAAGAAGAAAATGGTCCAAAAGCATAATTAATACAAATCTTCATCAATCTCTATGTACATTCTTAAAGGTGACAGTAAAGTTCAGGTTCAACAACCACTCCAGCAATGCCCAGGCCACCAGCACACGAGGCCTGGAGTCCCCCCAGCCTCTCTCTTTCCCCTTCAGGGTCACTTTTGTGTGAGCACACAGCAGTAGTAACCTCACCCAGCCATGTACAATACAGACTCAAAGCACATTTCACAGGAATTCCAGCTGCTCAAGTGGTGCCAGTGARCTCTGCACCCACCTAGACCGGAGCCCAGTGGCGGTGAGCCGTGCCCAGCCGGGCGCTATTCCGTGGCGCCAGGGCCGCGACGCTCCCGGGTGGCACTGAGGGGAYGGGCACCGGGCACCCGGCTCGGCAGCGCGATCCCAGCTGGCATCCCGCACACACACGGGGCTGAGGGGATGGGGCAGCCTCAGCAATCCCACAGAGCTCCCTASGGAAGGGCAGAGCGTCACAGGAATGCTTACCTGACTCCCAGCGCGCTGGGCTGTCACTCCCACGGCCACAGCTGAAGTGTGGGACTTTGTAACACCAGGCCAAGATAACATCTAGGCAGTCAGGAGAAATGCCACAAACTGCCACAGCTATAAATGAGTCCTTTTCTTRTGGCATTCTGATTTTTTTATCTTAKYGTCACGCGCTACAATTCACCTTTGGTCCTCAGGAAATGGAAAGGAAAGGCTACTRCTACTACCAAAGTACCAGCAATGCTACTTTGGACCATAATCACAATAAGTAACATGCTAATGAGTGGTTACAGATTCCGGCAAAATGCACACACAGGCTATGGAAAGCCTCATCTGGCTGATTCCAGAAAAACAGTACCTGGAAAAACAGCCCAGCACTGAGATTTATAGAAAACTCCAGSAATAAATGCTTACTCATACAAAAAGATCTGCAGCTGCACACTTTCCCCATCAAAGCAGTATATAAATCACAAGTCAGCCTATAATACCTACAGATGTCACAAAAGTAGTACAAATTTCTGTACTAAGCATTTACATATTAACTTAGCAAAAAACTGAAGTTCTACAACTCTTAGCTTTCATCCTGAGTTCAGACACCGATTATATCAATGACCCTGGCCACCGTTCCTTCGCATTCTTCGGTATAAATCCAAATTTAGTGCAGGGAGTTTTGCACTTTCAGCCTCTCCCTCCCAAGACACCAACCAACCCCATCCAAACCAGAGAATTGAGGCGCCTCCAAAGTTCCATTCTTACTGAACAAGTGCACTCCACAGCTGAACAGCAGCATTATGACAGTGCCATACCCTTAAAAATCTGGCATGGAAAAAAAATCCAAAGATATTGGTAAGACAGAAAGGTTTGGGGATTTAGTACTTAAGACGAACATAAGGAGAGGAACATTTTGAGAAAACTATTCTTGAAAATAATTCCATACTATATTGGAAAACCAAAATGAAAATTGACTACAAAAAAAAAGTATTTTAATACTAATGAAGTACACATAACTGTTTCTCAACTTGACTATACTAGCTAATTCAGAGAAATTATTACAAAGAATTTCAATGAATTGCAAGCAATAAAAAAGGCAATCAAAACTTTTACTTTCCAACAAGCACAGTTATTGTTGCATGCTAAAACATACAGAAATTATTTCCATTATCCTTTATATGTTAGGCAACAAAAAGTACCTTACCTTATTCTCCACACTCTGAGCACAGAGGATTAAAAACAAAGTTTTAGGCAGAAACTGCAGGTGTTTTATATCAGGGAAAAAGTCCAAACCACTGCATCAATAAGCTTAGTGGCTGTCCAGCATGCCATGCACACTCTCAGGACATTTAATGGAAACTTTTCCACATCCTTTTATCTACAAGCTTCCAGACTTTGGAATTGGGAACCCAAAGGCAGCCGTTCATTACCTGCTCCAAAATGCAGATCTCAGCAACACCACACGCCAAGRGGAGCCACCATAGCTTGATTTTCCCTCCTAGTAATTCCCTCCTTGCCAACTACTGCACTGCAGTCTTTCTGAGTGCTGTGCAAAATGCAATCAGTGGAGGGCTGAAATAGCCCGGGAAAGAAACACAGCTACAGGAAGAGTTCCTTCAAATCATCTCATGCCATCCTAGCCATGGGCTGAAAGGCACAAACTGTAGAGTTGTTTGGATCTCTTAGGATTCTCCCTGCTGTTCCTCCTCTCATGCTCCTGCCTGCCTTTTACTTTATTTTATACAGGATAATTTGGGGGGACTACTTTGTGGAAAACTAGGGGAAAGTGGGGGGGGGGGGGAGACACAATTTTGTAATAATAAAGATACCTTTTATTCTCATAATATTTTAAGGTATTAAAAGTCTTTTAAGGTTTAGGGTGTTCTTGTATTTTCTAAGTTCGGGGAAGGGGGAGATACTGGTATTTTTGGTTCTTTTTTTGCTTTTGCTGCTTAAATCGGGGAGTTTAGTCAATTAACTACTTAGCACTTGGACGCTTTCCCTATACAATTAAAACTGCCGTGATTACACAACAGCAGCATTTGTGAGATAAGTGCCCAGCAGGGGCATTTGTAATTATTCCCCAAGTGTTCCACAACAGCAGCAAAAGAATACATCCAAATATTAAAGAAGCTTTCATAGAAGGGCTGTGGTTGGAAGGAACATCTGGAGCCTGCCCAGCTCAGCACCCTCTGCCTGGGCAGGGTTAGGCAGAGCTGCCCAGCACAGCCTCCCATCCRTTTTAAATATTTACAGAGAGTGACTCTGCCACTTCTCTGGGTAGCCTGTTGCAGTGTTTGAGCAACACCCCCAGTCAAAARCTTTCTGTGAATTCAAATGGAATTTTATCCTTTTTTTCTTCTCACTTGATGCCCATTGCGTCTCTGGACACTAGAAGTCTTAACTTACAATCTGAATTAACTCCATCCCCCTGCACTCTCCATAGCTGCGTTTAACAGCACAGGGAGCAACAAGGAGCCCTCAGCACCAACCAGCCCAGCTCATCCCAAACAACAGGATCACCACTGCTTCCCACCCCTCCTTCCCTCTGCAGAACCAGGCTCAAGGCCAGATCTTTTAGCTCATGCAGCTGCCTACCCTCAGCAATCTATTACTCCTGGAGGTGCAGGTTTTCCTCTGGGGAGCATCCTGCCAGCCTCCTCCAGCTCAGCCTCACTGGAGCATCAGGCAGGGCTGAACACACCCTGGCAATGCCACAGAAAGCTCAGAAACCTCCCCAGCCCTCCAGCACCTTCTGCAGCCCCGGGAGGGGRCAGGAGCAGTCAGAGCATTTGAGGTGGGGAGAAGCAGAGAGAAAATGGGAGAGGTTAGAGGGAGATGCATCTTTTATAGGGGGTGGCTCAAAGCAGTGCAAAGCCTGGCTGGTTTTAGGGGCATCTTTTAAAGTTTTCCTTTCCTGTAAAATAATGGGCATAGGTGCAGACTCAGATACAGTGAACATAACTATTGCCCACTCCCCCACCAACAGATGGGGGGAAGATCAATTTTTCAAASCTGTGCACAAGTCCTTTGCTTACTCTTACTTCTGAGTGTCCATGCACCAAAMCAGCAATTTTACCATTTTTTATCTAACATGGCTTAGTTAACACTGAAAATCCTGTAGTGGACAGTACATACCCCAGTTTAGGCTCCCAAACGAAGTTTTATTTTAAATTTATATCTACTGAAAATAGTTTACCACCAAAGGTCTTCTTCAGCTTCCTTGGTTTGCAGACCACATGACATGCAACATTTTAAAAACATGATCACAAATTTGAAAAGAGGAAAGAGAGGCCTGTTAGCTTTGAAACAGAAAAAAAAAATATCAGAAAAGCTATCAGAAACTTTCTGCGTGACTTAGAGCACTTCTATATATTTCTACTCTCCTTTGTGAAGGAATAGATTTGCTTTCTCTGATCTTACCTGGGCACCTACCAAGCTCCCATCTCTTCACATGTATTACCTTGTATAATAGGACTCCAGTCTTAAGCTGGGAACTGTCAAAAGTGAAAAAAATAACTAGAAATAAGGAACACAAAAACAATTATATCTTGGTGAAGTTGGGGAGGAGAAGGACCAAAAATATCCCTTTCCCCTAAAAACTCTACATAAGGAGTAAAGTAAGATCTTTATTTTTTTTTGTTTGTTTGTTTCTGCAGTTAGTCCAAGACTAGCACCTTAACATTTAACCTGTTTTGCTTCAGGACAGTGAAAATTACTTCCAGACAGCCAYGTGCAGCCGAGCTGCTTTCTGGTTGGCATTCGCACACCAGCAAAAGGCRCACAACATTTCTAAGGAAAACAGCACCAAACACCTAGCACCAACTTAGAAGATGTGGCCAAGAGAAAAAAAAAAACTTTACAGAAAGACAGTAAGTCTGCTTCATRAATTGTTCACAGTCCGGTGTGGGAGGGTAAAAAAGAAAGACAAAAGGCCAAAAGAGTGTCCAATTATTCCAGCAGACTACTTCCTTTTCCTGCACTCTTCAGATGCAACTTCTAGATCACAACCTAAAAAGGACTTGCTAACTGTTATGTGAACCCACAAAAAGAACTTATTGCAAGAACATGAACTTCTGTATATAAACGGCATCATTAATTACATAATTACCGACAACAAGTTCTTAGTCACAGTGCTTAACATATGGTTTAGTAATAGTGTAGCAAAAAATTTAAATTTTATCCCTTTCCACAGAGGATTTCAAAAGAGCCTCTCCACCTTCCAGCTTTAAACAGCTGTACCTGTCCCAAGGAAAAAGCCAGAGTAGTCCCAGAGCATCACCTGCTGCTCCTCTCCAAAGACAACCCCATCACTCACCTGAAGGACTGATGAATTTTCTACGTCCACATCAAGAAGTTGAAAGGAGCATGTTTCACTTCTTTTATCCATTCCTAATTTAAAGCCTAAACTGAAGGCAAACAGGACTAACTTTTTTTTTTAGAAGCATAATTTCTTTTCAAACTCCAGAAAAAGTAGAGTGGAACAAGGAAGGAAAGCACAACCCCAAGCATATTTAAAGTACTGCTCTGAAAGATTAAGGACATTTTCTGCTCTTGTAACCAAGGTATAATGTAGTTTTTCAAATTAGGCTGTGGCTGACTGAGGAAGCTGGTTATCATCTATGAGTTCTAATCAGATTTTAAATCTATTTGAAATCAAACATCTGAGGGAAAGATTTTTTGTGAAATAGAGACAATAATTTGCTTACCTTCCTTGCAAATACAACTGATGAAACAAAAAAACCCCAAGCCTCCATATACTATCATGCAACTTAAGTCCATCAGGCAGAATGCAGAAGAACTTGCCAAACAGTCCATTCTGATTGTGTGCAAGACACACAACAAGACAGAACAAGGCTGTAAAGCAGGTTTATTTATAGAAATGAGAGTGAAACTTGTTTTGACTTTTGAGGTGTCACCCTCATTCATAACTAAACCAAACCCAGGCACTGAAGATGATTTGTAAAATTAATACCATAAACTTAAAGATGTGAAAACACAAAGGAGAATAAGGTACTTTACAGTGTCATGCAATGATACTAACACTAAAAAAACCCAAAAAAAACCAAAACCCAAAAACCCCACCAACAAAAAACCCCAACTCACACAACTGTCATGAGGTTTCTCAATGTATATATTAAAAACATACACAGCAGAAGAATTGTTCCTACCTACCTGTTTACATGAAAAAAATTCCCAACACAAACCCCAGTGACACACAAGACTGCAGTCTGTGCTTCCGACAGATTAATATATTGTTTCCCACTGCTGAGAGCTGGTCTTGATTCAGTTAAAGCCTAAGCACTTAGGCTTTCCTGCTGGGAAACAAACAAGTCAAGTCGGTTTCAAGCATCTCCTATTAATACACAGAAACAATTCTCACAAGCCTGAAGGCAGAAAAGAGAAATAGTAGGCAAAGGCTGCACCAAACCATAACAAACTACAGCAGATCAAAAGGCTGCACCTAAGACTCACTAGTTTGCTAGAAAATTCATTGCAAAAGTCTATTTATTTCATGGAGGAAATCACCACTACCATCACTTAGTCAAGCGTATCTACAAGAATGGTTTTACATAATGGGAAAATTTTTACTGGCCAGAGGTTCACGGTGTTCTTAAATTTCCAGAAACTGCAGATGTGAAGACACTTCTGTTAACCTAAACCAAAACCAAGAAAAGAAACTGTGTGATGCAYGCTCCATTTCACAACACAGCTCTGCTTTACTGGCTACTGCTCCTCAACCTGCTCAGCACAGGAAAGACTCACACTCTGATATTAAAGGATGGAAATATGAACACTGCAAACAGAGGCAGCTTTTAGACTACCACCAAATGGTATTGAAACATTAGCTAGCACACTGTTGCCATTTCAGAGCTGTGACACTAAGAACTGAAGCAGTTTAAGGAAGCAGTTTTATTCTTGTAGAAAATTAGTGAGCCAGTCAGAATGTATTTACGAGAAAGCATGACACCATCTTAGTTCTTCCATTTTCACTTTACTTTTAAAAGCTAACAAGAGCACCAAGAATCATTAGGCAGTCAGTAATAAACTGAAAGGTGTTTCTTCTTTTAACATGGAAAATATGCTGCAACACAACACTATGAAATCCAGTTTACTCAAACAAGGTGAAGTAATGTGAATGCAGGAATCTTTCCCCAGTTTTCAGAGGGCTGATTTAAGGATTATATTTAAAAACCAAAAGAGTCAATTCAAAACATTGCACAGGTTATATTATTCTTCTTAATCTGCTCAAAATTACCAATTTAAAAATGCAGATTATATTTTAGTTGCTGCTTTAAAAATATTTTTAATGACACTTAACAGTAAGCCTTTTCTTAACAGAACTTTTTGAAAGCTGGTAATTGAATAAATATTTTGAATTAATGCCATGGATCACAAATCCACAAGTACCAGGACTACAGTTCTAAAACAGACTTCAAATTATGAGGCTGATAATAAACTAAAGCCTACTATGTGAAAAAGCACAGAGACCACATTTGTTTTAGTACCGAAGTGGTAAAATTCTATTACCATGACAGTGCAATACAACTTTCCCAGCAGGCCATAAGCATTCAGGGGGACACACATGATTAGAAGCTCAAAATSAGAGAGTTATGTTCATATTCTGCCAACCCTTACTGCTGAGGCTCCAATAACGCCATATCTGAACAACTGTTTCTGTGGTCCTGACTTTTTCAATCTGCTTTTGGTGATGCAAATCCTTTCTAAAGCATTCTGTCCTATTGAAACATTCTCATCCCCCCACAGTACATCCCAACATTCCATCTCACTTTTCCTCTCACAATTTACCTACGTCTTTGCCAGAGAAAGCCATGCTGATARTAACAGTAGAATGAATGAGAAAGGTCTTCTGACTCAAGTAACTACATGCTTCTTTCTAAATTGAAACCTAGTGATGGGGGCTGCCTCCACTGCACAACAGAACCAACCTGCAATTATGGAGGAAGAGGAAAAAAGCACACACAGAACAGAAAACAAAAAAGCACATTTCTTTCTGTTATCTGCCRATGCACTCATTCATCTGAAGGCCTAAATTCTACGCCTGGAACAYACAGACCGAGACCAGCAATGCAGCTGCACTGCTCAAGCAAAAAGCAACATCTCTGTCACAATTAGCACAGCGATCTCCTGGGTCCTCAGCATGGCTCCCAAGGTGTCCATCAGCTCACACAGAAAGCAAACAGCAGCACAGCTCTGTCTCCTGGGATAGCTGAACACTTTTCACCTGTAACTGGACTCTTGTGGTCAGTCTTGGCAATGCTGTGCTGACATGRACTTCACCATCTTTACCAACACATGGATATAGACCTCACCCTCCAGGAACTGGCAGGCTGCACTCCCCGTTTGCCTCACTAAAAAACTACAGSCAGAAAAATACTGGCTTCGTGGTCTGCCTCAGGTTTTCCACTCAAATCTCAAGAAGAAACACAAAGCTTCCTACAATGTTAAACATCTGGAAATCATGCTGGAGGAGCAAGCTTAATCGGCCACTTTGCAAGATGGCCCTGCAGAGCTCAGAACCCTTGGAGCTACTCTTGTAAGCTAAGGTCACACCATAAAACCCATTGCCTTGATTCAGATAGGAACATAACGGCAGAGAAACTTCAGTAATTCTTGTCTAATGCTTTATCTCCACATGGTACAGGGAAGAATCTCAGTATGATAACACAAAACACAAAACTCAGAGCAAATCAGAAAAAAAACTCCAAACAAAACAAAGCAACCACACAAAAATTAAAATACTAATAAAAAAAACCTAGACAAGAGATAAAGGATGAATTAGAAAAAGAAATCTTTGCAGTAGCAAGGAACAGCAGTGTTCCAGCCTGTAGTTCAGCCCCTGATCTAGGCCTCTGGTGATGAGAAAAAGGAGAGGATGGAAGCAGACAGAACAGCACTTCACCCCTGAAAGACTCCTGTTTCTGCAATGGAGACTTGTGTCTGTCCACAGTCCCCTGTCCACACATTGCCTACCAGCAAGGACCTCCAGTCCTACTATCCACAAGAGTACACACTGGAGACAACCCTGAAGCCTGCTGTGTTTAGACAGCCACCAGAAACAATTACAATTACACTTACACAAACAAATTGCAAGCAGTGGTTACTGATTTAAAATGTGTAACACTCCAACATCTATTGCCTCCATACATTTCTCCCTCATTCAGTATTGGCAGTAATCAGTTTTACCAGTTAACATAATGCTGAAAATTCAYCAGCCTGATTTAAATTCTCATACTGCCTGCTCTTCTGAAGTTAGTTGGTTTGGAGTGTCTAACTAGCTCTGCCACGGTAGTAGCAAACCTGTGATGCTGTCAGAGAGGACTGACTGACCACACTGGGTATCTGCAGAAAGAATGAGCCCAGACACCATTTATTACAGTCAGTGAAAGCAGATTAATACCCTACATCAGCTTGGAACAATGGAAGCTGAACCCTTCTAAATTAATTTACAGCCAATAGACCCTAACCTCTTTACTCTTGCAGTGAGCATCTGGATATGTCAGGCAGTGGCAGGGAAACAGCACCTCACAAGTCACTTGTATATAAACATTAAAGCTTTCTTAAAAACACTTGTATTTACAGGAAAAGGAGTGGAGACCAGGAGAACAGAGAGACAACATCGCTTTAAGGAGTGTATCGTATGGGCTCAGGGAGCTGTAACAGGGAATAAGGCCATACAGAAATGTTATTAAAACACTCACTAAATGCTCKTTTCTGTTTTATTTAATGCCAGTAACACTTGGCAACATTCTCTGATGCTTCGGCCCTGGTAAATGACTACAGCATTAAGACATTGTCTTTATTTGGTCTTCCCACCTCTTCTTTGGAACTTACCATGCTTGCAGTAGTAGAAGAAAAACAAAGACCCAAACCTAAAATCATGACAAAATCATGACTYGGTTTTTACAGTTCACTTCAAAACATCATACAACATAAAATTCACATTCAGTGATGACTTAAATGCCAGGTTGAAAGGTATAAAGTGGGTTCCTGTACTCTGCAGCTCTGGGCCTCCTCTGAGTGATGGAGACACACAATTTCATTTTGCTGTCAGTAACAGCATCAAGCCTGACACATAGCATCTCATCTTAACATCAGGCTCAAGCGTTTCATTTAATAACTCAAGACAGGCATCCATATTTATTATCAAGAGCTTTCCTGTACAGCAGTAAATTCTTGAACAGGTGCGTGGGACATGTACTCCTTTCTCAAAAGATCTCTGTGCATATCAAATCCTCTATTTATGCAAAATCTCATGTTTGATCATTTATCTGCTACTTAAAAAAAAAAAAAAACAACAACAACAAAAAACAGAAATAAGTTTCACCATCCCACTCATGTTTATTGGGGTGTATCACAGTCCTGCTCTTATCACTCCCTAGGCCTCCCCTCCTTACTTTCTTCACCAAAAAATAAACAAGACACATCCTCAATACACTACAATATATTGTCACTTTTTCCCTGACTGTTCTGACTACATCGTCTCTGATCAACATGCCTACAGGAAATGGTGTGGGATGCCATTTTGGCTGTAGGAGCAACAGTTATTCCTCAGCCTGGAATCCAAGCACTGCAAAATGCAGCCATCAATCCTATTAATTGCCAAATCTTGGCCTGTAAACAGAGAGTTTGTTTCCTAACCACTTGAAAGTCAAGGTAGGAGGGAAGAAGTAAGGCTAGGTRTTGTCAATATTTAAGTATCTATGAAGAGAGTGCAGAATACTATTAGCCTTGTCTCTATACACTATCCTGGACAACATTCAAATCAAGGATTTSTATTCAAGGTGACCAAATACAACTTTCTCCCTTCCTGATTCATTTCCACCTTCAGCTCTGGCCTCACTCACCAAGCCAATCACGGAACCGAACAATGGCAAGTTCACATTTGATATGAAGTCCTATGGCTGGATGACATCACAGCTGCTATCTTTTAATTACCCCTTTAAAGGTTATTATTAGCAAGCTCCTAGTTATTATTAGCAAACTGATGAAACACTAATGGCCAAGTCCTCTCACACAACAGCTTGTCCATTTTTCCACTTATCACATAACTGATAAGTTTTCCCATTTGAGTTATTCCAAAAGAGATGATTAAGACCAAGAAGAATCATCCCCCCGCCTATTACTTAAAACTGCTGTATTTTGAGGAACTAACAACATCTGACAATCACACATTTTAACCCCGGCCAAGGTTAGAAAGCCAACGAAGATTTTTGCAAACTTTTCAATTTCTCTTTTTGAAAACAGAAAATTGCATGTGACATCCAATGGCTCTCCCACACCACCTCAACAGCTG